AATGAAGAACTGTGTTCAGGAAGAATACCGAGAGCCCCATCAGGCTCTCAGAAGTTTGTAAAGATTTAGCTATTGCGGAGCTGAGCACGGGAATAGCCATGTAGTGTGTGGAGCCTCAGCCATCCTACAGAAACCACCTACTGAAAAGTCAAGGGTTTAGGCAAAGTGGACTAGCAACACTTAGTATTTTGAGAACAGCAGCCATTTAGGAAATGAAGGGTTGTGGCCAAGACAATGCAATTAGCCTAAATTAAACTGTGCTGCTCATACCCTTTTCATATGGTTTTTGATGATTTGACTCCATGTATGTATGGTCGCTCTAAAGCTGTGGAAAGAAGTTCATTGCACAGTCTTTTATTCCATACCACACTGCATCCTCTCTGCTTAATGTTTTACATGGTTTTCCAAAAGAAATGGACAGTAACATACCGATGACTTATAGGTTACATGTTCTGCTGTATTAAACATAATGAGAACTAAATAGAATATATTTCTATCTATTTTTTGTTAGCTCTGGTATCTACTGGCACTGAATTAAGTCACTGAAGCACAAGCAGCCCAGAAAGACCGATACACGCGAGTGATTTCCACTTGTATGATGTACTGGTTTTGGCCCTAGTAGACTTTGCACTGGAGCATAACATATTGAAGTCACTAAAGAGTGCAGCTGCAGTCAGAGGTAAACCTAGCTGTGCTTTCACGGTCATGTTGTTGCCATGCACTCATGTTAGCAGTGACTTTTAGTGAACTGATGGATTACATTGTTTAAAACAAATCAAAAGAAAAATCCCAAACCAAGACCAAACACTTTCTGTTAACTATTTCATTTGTATCAATATCAGCAGTAAATATTTTGTGTGCGTAAAAAAGTTAACATCACTTTCTGATGCTCAAAACTTTGAGGGTTAACTGCTATACCTCTAAAAGATGTTAAAAACATTTTAATCCTTTCTCTAGACAGCACTTCATGTGTGAAAAATTTTGGAAATGTGCAACTATGTCAATACCTCCCCCGGTCTTTCTGTTGCCTAAATTAATTGTTAATAGTAAACAATCAGAGGCTTTGGTTTGTGGTTTTTTAAAAATCATATTTGCTTTTAAGATGATTTTTTAATTTTTTTTTTTTTAAAAGTACTCTTTTTTCCTTTTTTCCTCAGTTTTTGAGTTAAAACTGATTATTGATAGTTTACAGCAGAGCTATGTAAACTCCTCTGGAAACAAGTGTAAGGGTAAAGACCCCATAATGCAGGGGAACAGGAATAACCTATGGGGAAGCAAAAAGACACCATCAACCACTACTGGTGAACGTTGACCTTGTAAGACAAGACCATGGGCCTGGTGGGGAATCTGTGAGCAGCAGTATCTAAAGCAGCTGATGCGGTAAACACAAAATAGACCAGTGTGAGCATTCACTGGTGGTGAATTCACCTGAGTTTTGTGAACATACACCACAGGTTTGCTGCGTTTTTTCCAAACCTACCAACCTGACCTTGTAATGCCATGTCAGACATTCATGCCCAAGGCCAGCAGGCTTCACTCGGGCTCTGACCCAGCCACTTTTGCCATACAAGCATGCTCACACACATTCAAATAGTGACCAGAGGGCAAAGAAGCTGTGGAGAGACTTGGGGAGCTGTTTAAGTTTCCTGCTTATGTAAGGATCGCCTGAGACCTCAGAAAGTTGACATTCTTAAATCTTCCCTTGTTCAAGGAACATTGTGTTCCTCCACTCAGTCAAAGTTGTGCACAGCTTTGTGGTTGTATTGTGTAGCTGTTGAGTGCCACTCAGTTTTGGGTCTCCAATTTATACTACTGCCTCATCAAGACAGAACAAAAAAAGCTTGTGTATACACAGCTGCTCACGGACAAATAGAAGACAACTAGGAAATTTTTGCATTGTTGAAAATTAAGAAGATAACAGCATTAATAAAGCATATATTAAAAACCAAACAAACACTCACCCCTGTTTCTAATACAGGGGAATACAGAAAAGTTCTTTTGGTTTGTGGCTAAAGTTTTCCAGGTTAAAACCAACAGAAACAACTTTCAACTAAATTTTTGACTTCTATGTGTTCTTAATAAATGTATTTTATTAATGAAAGTTCTATTATTTCTGAGAAAATTGTCTTTAATGAATTATAAGGATTTTGTGAGCCAATTGGAAGCAGTCCCCCTCTCTCTGAATAGTCCTCTGTCTTTTGCATACATTAAGCTTGCCACTCACTGTAGGGGTATGCAAGTGTGATACTCTTTGTCTGATGAACGACTACTTTTACTTTTTTTTTTTTCATTTCTTCTTTCTAAATAATAAACAAGGTCTCTCTCTCTTCTGCATACACCTACATAATTTACTCATAAAAATTCCAGGCAGAAAACAGTAAATGTACAGCTCGCTCCAGCTTTCAAAATTGCATCTATATCCAGCCATATTATCTAGATGCATCTTCCATCTCTCCCTGATACACCAGACACATTTGGCTGCTTTATTAGCAGCCTCCAGAGACATAACAGAGACTATAAGAACAGTGTAGATCAAGTTGCCTAAAGGGCTTATCACAAAATTTTTACCAAACATTTATCAAAGAATAACAAAACCATGTTATTAGAGAAAATTCTTCCCTTCCTGTAGTCCCATCTTAAGGTTTTTAACCAGTAGCACTATGAGGCAATGACTAAACTACCAAAGCTTGTTTCTTGCTTTCCTTCCTTCTCTGAGAATAAAAAACAACCCCAAAAAACCTCTTCAAATTTCACTGCATTTTTTAAAACAGCAGTAATAACATTTTGTAAAGAAAAAAAAAAAATCTCTATATTGCTTTTTATTTCTCTGTTATAATTTGTTTTGTGAAATGTTGCATTTTCCAGCACTTCACTGACAAAATTAAGTTATCACTGTTGGAAAACAAGGACATAAGGAACTTACTGAACTGTGATAAACTAGTTTTTCAGTATTTGTGAAATTCTCAGACATACATACATACCAAAAAAACCCCAAAGCTTTCTGTCCACAAGATTTTCTGAATCTTCCCTGATAAAATGAAAACAGCTATTTATTAGGTTCTATATTGTTGTTTAGCACTAGATTATATAGCACTAGATTTATTCTATACTATACAAACATATTTGAATTTTGTTAACTACGCTTCTATTAACAGGAAAAACAGATCGAGTTGGAAAATTTATTTTCTAAAATTATTTCCAACTTTTTTGGTTCTTCTCATTACCTGTTTTTCATGCACACATCAAAGATGAGTATTCCCCAAGGAAAGTGGGGGTGCGAAGGAGAGATATACTATAAAATAAAGCGAGCTAAAATATAATTAAATGCAAAAGATTATTTAAGCCAAGCAGGTATCTTCCTGAAACAGAAATCCCAGTAAGGCCATTATGGAGCAAAACAATCAACAGGATGAAAAATCACACACTTTTTAAAGGCTACAAAAAAAAGAAGAAAAATCTAAAATAATTTGTAGACATCCTTGTCTATCAGTCCAGTGGGTGCAAAGGCACCACACAGAAATTGAGGCATTGTGGGAGAGTTCCTACTTTGGGGAATTCACTAACAAACCAAGCCTTCTTCCCAAATAAAACAGCTTTGAGAAAATTTGGATGAATAGCCATTTGACTCATTATTTACTAAACAGAATACTAGTGAGAAATAAACACCTATTCTTTTCCTTCTCGTGAGTGTTTCTAGAGATAAAGTGTCCAAAAAGAGGATGATGGAACAAACTAATAAAATAGAATAATATCTTTAGGACAAGATAAATTTTACATTGAAGTTCTAAAGCTACTGAAGTATTATCATAGTGCTAAATTTTCACAAAATACCCTTCTTCATAATTTTCTCTACTAATTACAGGAATTGTAGTTTATAGAGTAGGTTATTTTCAATATGAAGAGGGTGATTTGATTTCCTCCTTGCAGCCTGTGAGGCCAATTTGATCTGACATACAGGGAATCTGAATGTTTCAGTGCTTTAATAAGTAAATGTATATAAACTATTATTGCTATTGTTTATGTTGCCAGTTTTTAAAAGTACTTTTTTATTCCTCCTTTCTGTGAACTATTTCAGGAGAGGCTTGCAGGAAAAAAACCACATCAGACTTATTGATCAATGTAATTATACAGTATTGGATTCCACCATTCTATTTACATACTTGTCCGAAAAAATGAAAGACTCATTGTAATTCTCTTCATCTAGAAGTACAGCTATAAGAACATACAATCTCTTTCTAATGGAAATCAGAATTACAATTAGATCTAATTAAAAAAAAAAAAAGCACTAGTAGAACATTTTTTTGGCAAAAGATGCTGACACAGTAGAATAAAAAAAAAAAAGTTCAAAAGGACACATCAATTCTGGTGACATTTTTAACACAAAATTGAGGAGTCTAGCTGGCCTGCCTGCACAGGCTTTTGCTGCCAAAGTTTGTCCTGGACCACTGCCCCTAAAGGTTTCCCCACTTTTGCAAGAAGACAAACTTGCTGGAAATCAACTTCACCTCTGAAGGATGCCCCCTCATCTCAATCAGATACACAAAGCAATGCAGACATTTTATATGAATACACATATACACATGCACCTCTCTAGTCTCTCAAAATAAATTTTAATCTCAAGAGTTAGAAGAAATGCCACATTTAGGGATTACTGGTTCTTAAATACAAATTAGAGAAACAGTTTACTAAAATAGTCTGCTGATAGATTATGTTTTAAAATGCTAACAAGGAGAATGAGACCAAGGGGTCTCTTGATATTCCAGTTCAAAGTTGATTTTCCTAATCCAGAGTAATTCTCACACTTTCTGCCCCACAGGAGTACATTAACCTCTGAACTATTGCTTAAAAATGAAGTACAGGTGCCAAAGATCTTTCCCCTCTTAGTACCCTCAGTGTTAGATTTGGTGCAATCAAAAAACATCTACCAGACCAAGTAAAAAACATAACAGAGCCAAAGAAAGCCACATTTTAAATAAGTTAAAAGCCATTCAGATGCTTACCTGGTTAGTACTTCAGAAATTCAGCATCTACACACCTGTCCAAGAAAAGCAACATTAGACACACAGGTACTACAAATAACCTAGAGCCTAAGTACAGATCTACTGAGTGATAGCAAAGCCTAAATGTTAATTGTAGACACCAGTGGTGGCCCATGTGACTGCAACCCCCATACCTTGCAAGAAAAAAGTAATCTTATTAGGCAAATGCATTTATAGGTTCATCACCTACTATTCAAAGTTATTAATTATCATGATATGTAAGCTCAACCAGTAATTAATTATATATAAGCAGAAAAATGATTTTTTTAAATTGTAAAATGACTTTAAATATATAGTGCATGAATGGTACAAAGTGTAAATATGTCAAGCAGTCACTAAAAGATTAGATTTACCCCCTGCTGATGCAGAGTTGTTTACTTCTCAGGTAAGCAATACGATGCCTAATCTAACAAAGAAATATCTTCACAACACTACTTGTGATAGTGGCCAGACTGTCTAGTACAAGAGGAAAGGAGTCTGGGTGTAAAAGCCTGAACTTCTCTGGACCTAGGAGCCTTCAAAGGGAAGACTGACTATAAAAGCTAACACATCCTACCATAAAGGCAAGATGGAAAAAAGTGGGAAGCTCTAAAGCTCTAAATCTGTCTGAGGATTCACTCTTAGGGGTGCCTTTGAAAGCTGTCATTGACAGAAGCTTTTGAAAGAGACTTCTTTAATGAATATCTTAGAAGGAGCTGTTTTTAAAATAGGATTCATAACAGGCTACATTGCCTGTGATGGTAATATTATTGTATTATGTAAATAATACTTATACGTAAATAATACTATACTGTACATAATACTTATATGTAAATAGCCAAAACACTTCCAGAATCACTGTCTAACTCTGTTTTGTCATCTCTTGAGAAAAATTATAATAAAATTAAAATACACGCCCCAAAAAAACCCCCACCAACTCTGAAAACCAAGTGTTATGTTTTACTGTTTTGTATCTATCCTCTACTTTACCAAAAGCAAAAAATTCAAGACCAGAGGAAAAGACAATCAAGTACAACTCCTTTTCCCACCCCAAGAAGGTCTTACCAGCACAGAAGAAAATCTTTTGCTTTAGAACACCTGGTTTCCACTTTCTAGCTAAAGGTAATTAGCCTTTAATTATCACCAGTTACATTTTCACCTGCAAATCACTGGAAAGTCAGACTTGCCCAATTAGCATATTCATCTCCCACCTGCAGGCAGTGAGGAAACACCCTGCACTTCAACTGAAGGATTAACCTTTAATTTACCAATGTCTTAGCTGCATTCTCAGCCAAACCCACAAAATTAATGTTGTGCACATGTGTGCAGATTCTGAGGTCAAATAATCTATTTTGGGAGAGACTGTTGTGAAGGGTTTCTATACCCTTCTATAAGGTTAACCCTGGGAAAAACCTGAAAGCATTTTCATAGAAATACACATCAAAGTGAAAAAAATCAACGCACAAACTGTCCAGTCTTCTCAGTTTTCTCCCAATAGTTTAATATTGCTAAGTGCGCTGGAGGAGATTTCTAGACATTGTTGATACATCAATGAAAATACAAAGCTTGAAGCTCCTGTGAATCCTCCTAAAAGTTTCTGCAATACAGGTAATGATCTCAAAGGCAGGTGGTCCGATTCTCACTACAAATAAACATGCTTCAGCTGACCTTCCAGCACTCAATTTGCAGCTTTTGCTGGGCTTATTATAAAATTTATTCTCCAGCTTAATTTTTGCTTGCACTGGTATTTTTCATAAATGTAACAAAGTTATTTTTTGCATGAATACAGATTCAATGATGTGTTTGCAGGCTAGGGCTTTAATTGTGCAAACAAACACATCCTTATGCAGGTGGCATGTTTCAATATCTTCAAAAGGACAAACAGTGTGTGTAAACACATCCCTAAGGTGCATATTTAATGAAGGAAAATTCCTAGCTTAGGAATCATTTTTTATTTTACATTTTTTTAAAAAATAAATTGAATACTCTTCACGTAGTATGATGACTGTTTTAAAAAAATAATCTATTGTTTAAATTATCAAAAGAAATGGAGAAAATCCTCCATCCCTGAATCTATGAACCTTAGTCATTTTGCAGAGACAAAACCCAAAAAACCTCCTCACAAATGCAACAGGTAAACTAAATTGCTGTGGTCAGTCTCCTTAAACAATAACATTGTGCCAAAGTAATAATTCTACTTTTGGGGTACTTTTATTTCTTGGGCACTACAATGTATCTTTATGTCATAATTTTAATTCAGATAAGACTTTGTTGACAAATTATGCATAAAATATCTATAAAATTGTTTATAAAATATGTTTATTAGATTAGCTGAAATGGGTTTGGCACAACTAAGTCACTGTATCATTTTATTATCATATTAATTTTATTTATGAAAAACATAGCTATAAAATAATATGGAGACTAAATAATAGAAATTACAATTTGGAAATAATATAAAACACAAACTTAAAACCACAGAGATTCTGTGTTCTCTTTAATATGCAAATAAATTTTTCTTTCTACTACATGTAAATTACAATTTACCAGTCACAAGCAAAGCCTTTGGTGCTGCAGGTATTTATGATAAAAGCTAAAATTTATCATAGCTCAAATATTTCTAAACATTTTCTAAAAAGAGGTGATTTTTTTTCATATGCAAACAGTATTATATTCTGTGTTTTGCCTCTTCATAGATGCAAAACGTTGACTGCATTTTTCTTCTGTGCTAAAGCCTTGAGACACCAGGATAAACAATAGCTCAGATACTAATGCACCTTTTCAGCCTGTTAGATTTCTTTTTGCCAGTTTACTTCAGATACATGAAATTGGATTTCTGAAGGCTTAGACAGGTATTTAACCTACAAGGCTTTGATTTCTTCTGAATTAAATTTCTTATTTGGTTTCAACAAGCAATTCCATCCATAACTTGAAAAACCCTCTTCACAGAGTTTAATCAAAACTAATTAAAAAAAAAAAAGTTTTCCTGTGGGAACTTAACAAGACAGTATTTTCCACTGAAGATAATTTAATCAAATATTTCTGAGCTATATTCATCATTCCTTTCTGTCTTGCTGCATACTGATAGACAAGAGCATTCTGCCAAGATGCAGTAATTTTGCAAGTAGAATGGAAAATGTGTAAAATGAAAATGCTTTAGAAAGGCAAAATGGCTACTTACACTGGAATGGTGGAGCCATTTTTTTCCATGTCTAATAAGCTTAAATTGGCCTCATGAGAAGATCGTACTTCAAACCAGAAACATTTCTGTGTTAAAACACTTACTTGGACCAATGACCGTACTCTTCCCCAAATGGAGATGTAGAGATGATACAAGAACGATAGCAAAGCAGTGATGTTAATGCTAGGATGATACTTCATCCTGCTGCCAGATGAAGTGAGGACTGCCAAAAGTTTCCCATGTATTTGTAGATATCATAAATTGGAAACTACCATTTATAACAGGTAATTTCTCTGATAATGCCTGCAGAAAGCACGTCAGTTGTCATCCACACGACCTTGACCTACCATCACCAATGGTGCCATTAAATAATCTTACTTAATATGCAAGAAAAACACACTTGTAAGATATAAAATGCAAAAAAAACCCTCCAGTTTGTTTTGATCAGGGTCTCAATCATTCAAAGAAAAAGATAGTGCTAGGACCATACTGTTAATAGGAAAGGGACTGACAATCTGAAACACATTTTAAAGAGTTCTAGAAAGCAGATACTAATTAATCTAACATATAGAATAAAAATGAATTAAGATCTTAGGAAAGGACTTACTGAAAAATCGATGAGAAAACACTATGGTTTGTTGTTGCTTTGGGTTTTTTTGTGATTGAAATTTTTAGAGCAAAGAACTTTAAGTTCATAGGACTTTTAAAAAAAAATTAAGTGTGTATCAAGTCATATGAAAGTTATCAAGAGGTATATCTCAAGGCTGAATGTCGTTTTAAACGTAATATAGCTGTAATCCAACCCCTAATTATTAAATTTCTAGAGGAAAAAATTCTAAACATTTAGAAATCTCTCATAGTCTCTCATCACCAGAAAATAAATACTTAAATAATCCAGCCAATTTTCAGTTTCATATTATTCTGTCTCACCTATTCCTCCTCCTTTATCAGCTCAGAATTTTAACATTGCTCTTTTGGATTTACAGGCATATATGCACTAGATATTGCTGCCATCCAAAAACCAGCAACAATACCATATATTTTACGTCACATTGCCACAACACGGAAAAGAGGGTTATGTCTGAAAATATGAGTTTACAATATATATAATAATTCACTGTTGTATAGATTTGCCACACACACTTACAGCTAGCAGACTGTCTTTTTATTTTTAGGACAGCCATCGTATTTGCCATGAAGTTTCTTCAAAGAGAAACACGATGCAGTTCCTTTTCTTACATGGATGCCACACTAAACATATGATATTCCAAGCACGTTTTCTATACCAAGACAGTGTGTAATTATAATTCAATACATTTGGCTGGAAATCAAAATAGCTACCCCCTACCAAAAGCAAAGGCACCCAAAGCATTTGCTTTGACTTAAATGATTGCAAAATTTCAGCACATAAGACAATACATCAATTTCTTGACACTTCCTTCAAATTGGCTTTTAACGTGCAAACCCAAAGAAGGTAATTTATCTTTTCCCTTCTTTAACAATCTCTTTTTAGTTTACTATTACTAAGGTTTCACTAAAATATTCTGCATAAAATTCAATTCTTCCTCCCTAGTAAAGAATCCAGAACTTTTTAAATGCAACTGTACTTGTAGGTGTTTAGAGTAGAGCTAAGAAACATGAAATTCATGCTTTCAGAGTTATTTTAATTTGCCTGATTTTATTTAAAATATATAAACTTTAATTAAAGTAAGCTTTAATTTCATATATTTTAAGTATGCACTTACTACCTTATATTGACAATCCAATAGTAAGAACTTTTGCATGTGAGTATCATCAATAATCAACCTTAGTAATTCTTGGCTGTCCCACATCATC